ACTTGTTGCTAGCAACAGCAAACATGGTGTGAACATTAGCTGGGTCCCTACGCTGCCTGGCACCGCAGGCAGCGCGTCCTGACCTACGCTAATGCCCACGCTGACGTCCTGACCTACGCTGATGCCCACGCTGATGTCCTGACCTACGCTGACCTACACTGATGCCGTGGCCAGTCCAGCCCCTCAGCCTGGTCTCCATAGTGATAAGCTCAGGGAGAGCGCGAGCAAGCGAGGGTGCGTGAGGGAATGCAGAGGTTGCAGAGGTTCCGAAGCAGAGGAGCTGGCAGAGCAAGCTCAGAACACACTGCGCATCTCAGCAACCAGCATCTTCTCACATTTGCAAACACATCTTCGGAAAATATAAACACAAAGAATCTCAATACGCAATATCATAGACAAAAATATTCAACAGAAAACATAAAAAATAACATTTATAGACAATGTTTCTTTAGAAAGTATAGAATTTTTTAATAATTGGGTTCTTTTCATTTATCCCAGCAAAATAAATGGAACTACTTGCTATAGTATTTCTCAAGGAAGATTACTTAGCAGTAATCATAACTTCAGGACGACTGAATTATACATAATACTTAATATTTACTGAGTTACTATTATGTCAAGGATTCTTAAAAGATGGGAGAAATCTTATTTTCAAGTCATTTTATAGTCTTTACTATCTAACACTGAGATTTATTTTGTTTTGCTATGTTATGTTATGTTATAATATTTGGGGGATATGGGGAACTCGAACTCAGGACCTTGCACTTGCCAGGCAGGCGCTTATGCCACTGAGCTATTGCCCAGCCTTCTGTGTATGTTCTTTATATTAATATTATCATGATCTAATAGATATAATGCAATTCACGTGTAACTTCAAATTTTCTAGTTACCTTTCAAAGTTAAAAAAAGTAAAAATTATAGCGAGTCCAGGGCCAGCGTACACTACGGAGCAAGACCCTGTCTCAGAAGAAAACCAACAAACAAAAACCTGTTAAAGTATTATCTTGGGGCGGGGGGAGATAGCTCAGTGGAATAAGCGCTTCCCTGGCAAGTGCAAGGGCCTGAGTTCAATCCCTGGTTCCGAAAAAAAAAAAAAAAAAAAAAAAAAAAAAAAAAAACCCTGAAAGTATCATCTTGTAGCGCCGGGGTTGTCGTTTACAGTCAGAAAGAACACTTGCCTAGCACTCGCAGGGCCTTTCATTCCAATCCCAGTACTGGGGGGAAAGAAAGACATTATCTTTTCCATAATGAATCTTCAAAATTTACACCTCTAACAGTATTTGAATTTCAACTAATCCCATTTCACATGGTTAGCAGCCTACTGAACAGTGTAAGATCAGATTGCAGTTTAAAGAATGTAAGTCCTGGGCTCAATTTTAATTCTCCTTTACTAATAAAATTCAATTAGCCGGCCAGATAGCTCAGCAGACTAAAGCGCCTGCTTAGGCACACATAGGGACGGGGTTTGATCCCTGGCTTTTGGTGCCAGCCCCAACACTAGGGCACACTGAAAGTGAGATTGAGCCTGGGCGTGGTGGCGCGCCCCTGTAATCCCAGCACTTGGGAAGCTGAAAACAGGAGGATCACTACCAGTCCAATCTGTGTAGTGAGACCCTGTAGACCCTGCACTAAATACATTAAAAAAAAAAAAAAATGAGGGCCGGGGAGATGGCTCAGTAGGATAAGCGCTTGACTGGCAAACGCAAGGATCTGAGTTCAATCCCCAGTTCCACCAAAAAAAAAAAAAAAATCACATTTATTTGGAAATCAATATATTCTCTTTTCTTTTTAACTCTCTAAACAAATCTCAGAGAATACAGTATAGCTGCTAAGAGAATAAAGACTAAGAAGGACAAATTGAAAACTCCTTTGCACTATAAATTTTGAGTGTTTCGGGCTGGGAAGATACCTCAGGGGCTTACGTACCTGCCTGGCAAGCGCAAAGTCCTGAGTTCAATATCCAGCACACACGCGCGCGCGCACGCGCGCGCGCACGCGCGCACACACACACACACACACACACAGTTTTCACTTTTTTTTGTTAAAAAAGGACATTTCACTCCTCTTATAAACATCAAATACATTTTTAAAAAGCAAACACAGAAACACAAAGGAGCATATATTATAAGCAATTTTTAAGTCCTATAATCAGACTAGAGTATAATTAAAAATACACAAATCAAAATGTTTACACCCTAAAACCTATCTTGGACTTTTTTTTTTTTTTTTTGGTACTGGGGATTGAATTCAGGATCTTGTGCTTGCCAGGCAGGCACCTATCTTTGACATTACTTATATTTGAAATATTGAAATCCAGTTAAGGGCTAATACAGGGGATGGAATTTCAAAAATTTCATTTTGGTAATTTATTTTCTAAACATTGGTAAGTATTTTCCTCACTCTTTGGAAGCCAGGGAGATAGCTAAGTGCCTGCATGGCAAGCGCAAGGTCCTGAATTCAATCCCACATTCCAAAAAAAAAGAAGGTCAGATCCACTCTTTAAAGGATAATTCATCCTTTATAGTAAATTTTATGCTTGGAATATTAATGATTAAAAATACTTTGGAAAATTTTACCGTTAGCCTAACTCCAAAGAGTTACATAAACTCAACATTATTTATAAGGAATAACAAATCCATTTTCTACTTTGGTCCTCTCAATGTTAAAAGCATCATTTGCACTGACTGCTTCCTGGCACTGTGCCTGGCACATGCTATTTTTGTAAACAAATACGTCTTGAACAAACGACAAACTAGCAGCCACTTAATACTTCTAGCACTGCAAAATTAAATGTTAATCGGGCCGGAAATATGGCTCAGTGGTACAGCATCCGCCTGGCAAGCGGGTGCAACGTCTTGAGTTCGAGTCCTATAACCCTCCCAAAACTGCACTGAATGTTACCTAGTGAAGCCTTTCAGTTAAAAGATTTTACTAGAGTTCATTTGAAAACTGAAGCCAGATTACAGTTAGCCTTATACTACCCATCACTTATTCTCGTTGAACTCAAGACTTCTGAGACTCAGATATTATCACCTTCAAATAAAGTGGGGCCCAAAGGGATTGAGTCATATAATTATTAAGTAGCAGAGCCAGATTTCAAGCCCAAATCCTCTAGCAAAATAGTGTCTGTGCGTTTAATGAGAGAGGGAGAGAGGGAGAATGGGGGAGAGGGAG